ACTCTAGGTCAAAAGTTTTAGTAGATTGAAATCTTACCCTAGGGATGGAAAACGTTTTTAATTTTTGTTTTTGTTCATTGATTTAAAAAATATCGTTTTAGTTTAAATTTTCCTATTGTTTCCAAATAACTTTTGATAATATTGTTTTTATTTTTTTATAATTGTAACGCCCAATATATTGCGCTTAAAAGTTAAAAATTAAATTAATTATTCTTAATATTTAAATTTCAAATCAAAATTATAATTTATATAAAAATTTCTGATTTCAAATTAAAATGTTTTTAAACTTTAAAAGTGCATTATTGGTAAAAATTAAAAAGTAAAGATTTAAGTGAATTATTTTTTTGGTGGTATAAATATAATAATGTATAATACTATATAGTATTATTATTATTGTAACTATAATTTATTTTCAATTTTGATTTCATTGTTAATTTTTTTTGATTTTTTTGTTTTTGTTTGATAAATTGTTTTTGGTTTTTGTTTTTTCTATTAAATAAAGTTTTTTAAAAACTTGTTCCATCCCTGATAGTAACAGTAAAGTTTGTCAAAAGAAGAATTTACTTTATTTATAAATAAAAAAATTTTAACCTAACTTATTTTTTTTTAAAGAGTTAATCAAATCTTAATTAACATGATTAAAGTGTTAATTAAAGTCTTATTTATAAATTAAATAGAAGTATAATACATTATAATATATGAACATGCCCATACATAGGAGTCAGCATTCGCCACTGGTAAACATTTATTAAGTAATGTCAATAGATAAACAATTTTAAGTGAAACGGGTCAGTGTTTTATGAAATTAGTTAACACTTGTAATAATGTTTTCTTGGTGCTCACCAAAACTATTGAACGACTCTGTCAATAATAATGTGTTTATTATTTTTCCTTATAGTGTTTCTATGCATCAATCAATACGAGCGGAAGACAATTCAAGATGGCAGCCATACTAGCAGTAACACACTCAAATCTCAAAATTCATCATCAAAAATAATTCCTTGTTTTCACCTTCTACTGTGGTCATGGTAATATAATTCTTAACAAATCCATTTTCGTGTGCGGACTTCAGAAGTCTAATTAACCCCGATACTGTAACATCCGTACTCTAAGATCAACCTTTTTTGTATACGTATTCCATGCAGTCTAAATGTTCCAATTGCCATAGCCTTGACACGTGTGATTCGATCCGATGGTACAACTAGCTGTGGGATAGAAGTATGTGTGCCAAGGCTAGGGCATTTGGACTGCGTGGTATACGTGTACAAAAACGTCTGACCTTGTCGTTAATATTACATCAGAGGTGCCACTAGTTGGGAACAATTAGATTATCTGAAATATGTACATGGAGATAGGAGCCGTATTGAGATTAAATTACCTGACCTTACCAACCAATAAATAATTACTTTGTATTTTTTCGCTTTACAAACATAAATTTCCATAATTTAAAGATATTACAGATTATATAAATAAAATAACATTTTTTAAGTAAAATATAACTTTCAGTAATTTTCTAGATATTTGTAACATTTTAACAAAGTTTATAATTAAATGAATTTTGTGTTCATAATATTTTGTCTTGTGTTTTTATTTATCAATTTATACTTCTACTACGTAGAACGTAACCTTGTTAGTTGACAACTGAATTACAATTACTATAATTTTATTGACAATTGTTTAATATATTAAAGATAAGAACATCTGTGTTTGTATGAGGTTATTTTTTACAACAGTTTAATATGAGTTATTTATGTGCATTTTTGACTTGAAAAAAATGAAAATGCATACAATTTATATTTCATAAAATTGGATGTAAATATTTTACTATACGTTAATTTTATGTACTGTAAGAAATTACAGGAAATAAGTAAGAGCTCACTGATCAATATACCTATCATAATTATTTACGATGTTAGATATTTTAATGAATAGTAGGTACTATAAGCCATTAGGGAATATTAAATTCAAATAAATTAGAAAAATTTAAATAAACTATTTTTAACCAAGCCAACAATAATAATAATAATAATTTTGAAAATAGTTCATTATATTTTTATTGTGTATATAATACGTAATAATATGATGTATGTTTTATATTATTGTATATTATGTCGTATGTCCATATACCTGTATCATTAAGTGAAAAAGCCGGCCAAGTGTGAGTCGGACTCTCGTACGAAGGGTTCCGTACCATTATCTAATGTCTGTTGTCATTTGCGGAGTGGGAAAAAAATTCAGGCCATGTTAATTTTATTAATCAAAGCTTTGTTAGTCAATCTTACAGTAGGTACCTTTAAAAATGCAAAAGGAAGCTAAATTTATCCACTGAGAAACGTTCAAGGATACTGCGATTATTTAATGCCTATTACTAAATAATTACAAAACAACCTAAATTTATAAGATAAGTTAATTTATAAAATTACCTTCTCAATGTATAGGTACTTATTTTATTAATATTAACTTTCGCTTGACTGTAAACAGTCTGATATCAAGTGTAACAGTTGTACCTACTACGAATAGCAGTCTCGGTGATGTCGAATATACCTGTTATCTGAATTTCAGCAGTTTCTCTAGGTACTTGTTCCGGCGAGGAAGATAACAGTGGACTGTATAATTTTGTAACTTAAAACGATTCACTATAATTCTGTATTGAAATTTATAAAACGAATCTTTGTATACGACGTCACTCATGGCAACCATTTATTAACAATACGACGTCACTCGTGGTAACTATTTATAAACAAAAATTTCCATCTGAAATCTCAAAATTCCCTTTTTAGCAACCCCCGGGGTTGCTCCTATCCCTTTTTTTTAGTATTTGTTGTTATAGCATCCACGGAAATACATAATATATGAAAATTTCAACTTTCAAACTTTCATGGTTCATGAGATACATTATAAATTTATTAAAAATAATAGATTTAATAACATCAAGTTGAATAATATAGGTAATTATTAAATTAAAACATGTTGAAAAAAAAATTACTTTTTTTATTTATTTGAAATTAAAACTCAATAGCATTAGTGAGCTAACTTTCCGAAATATACATATTTCTTGCCACAATATTTGAAATGCTATCGTGTCCTCTTAGGATATGAAACATGCGTGAAGTGTTGTTACTTGATAGCTTTAATATTAGAACTAATTGACCTTTTATACAACTTACAGGTATGAATATAGGATTTAATTCAATTTGAAATTTTATTTGATTTACATTATGTAATGTTTTATAATTTTACATAACAAATTCAACCATCTCAATTATTAATGTTTGAATATATGAAATTTAAAATATTTCAGTATCTTAATGAATTTTGTTTTATTTTAAATAAGTTTATAATTACACATATAGTTGTCATAAATTACCTTCATAATTGTATGGTACCTATAATATAGGTATACATATTATGTGTACCTAACCTTTGGTATTATACATTTAAAATATTATTCAACATTTTTAAATATTTTAATGTTTAAATGATACAAATTACAAGTTACTGTAGGTATTCAATATTATACATGTATATTGATACCTACTGAATTCTTACATTAGAATTTAGAACACTGAACATTAAGGTTACATAATCCTTTACATATATAAATTGTAGTTACACATTTTTCTTGACTCCCGCCTTATTTGAAATATTAAGACCTTGCTACCATTTATAACTTAAAGAGATTGGGAACAGACTGCCCTCAGTGGGTAACAGGGTGTAATACCTAATACTGCTGATTTTTTTTGTTCATTATTTGTCTTACGTGGCATATAGGTACTCAGCTTGTTAAACAAAAAAGGTTTTTTGGACCCCTGTCTCTAAAAATCATTGATGGACCCCCCTTAGACACTAATTGCCGACCCCAGGCCTAGAACATGAGTAAGCGCTTTTACTTCACTGAACAACTTCAGCCTTGGTGTGCAAGCACGAAAAATAATAAGCACTAAGCAGTTGGTTTTCGATCATCACTTCCAGTGTTTCCAGCCTGTTCAGCATGGATCTCCAATCTACGACCCAGAAAGCACCATACTGATGGAGAGGTCGTAATATTTGTTTAGTATATAAAAAACTGTGTAAATTTTCTTCAAAATCTATACTTTTTTTGGTGTAGGTAACTCAAAAACTCATAACCGTAGATGGTAATATTATTACTTGAAATTTTGATCTACCAAATATTCACATATTTTTATATGTGAATATTTTATATATTTTAATATTACCCATTTTCTGTACATAACGAAAATTGTCAAAATATTTTCAAACTTTTTGAGCTATAGACATGGATTTTTCGATTTTTTTTTTCGTTAAATTTCGAAAAAACACATCATTACATTGGTTACAAAAAAAAATTAAAGTATACCTGCAGTACAATATAGTCACGATTTTCACAAGTCCCATAAATTAATTTTCTACTAGCGTTAGTAGAATCGTCTTCGCCGTCATCATCATCGTTATCTATCATTAATGACCGCAATTTCTTACGAGGAGGAGAGTGTGTTTCAAAATGTTCGTCATTTTCTAATATTGATTTCAGATTTAATAACTGTGTAGGTTTGTTATAGAACGTACCAATTTCAAGCAGAACACAACAATCGGCGAAAGAAACGCTTTGTCCTGCTTCCACGTCGAACGGCGGCGCTTGGGTTTGGCCTCCGCCGCGGTTATCAGTTCCGTTTTATCAAACCGGCGGACTTCAGTAGGGTCCTGCCGCAAGCTCGCGGCGCGTACCGTCGTCCGTACGGGAACTATGATAAGGCCGAACTCGGACGTATCGATAGGTAGGTACTTACCTAGTGACTGGACGTCCTCTGTGTCCGCCGACGAAAACAGCACCGCCAATGTTCGGCGTCGAGTAACCATCGCCGTCTCCGAGGATCAGTGAGATCGCTGCTGACCGTCTGCTTCGGCAGGCCGAACCTGCTGCGGCGGTGTCTTCACCGTGAGCTCGGCTGGAACGGGCGTCATCATTGCCATGTTGACCAGCGGTATGTGGCATAGGAATTTCAGACTTGCACAGCTGTGTTGTCCGCGACAATTTCGGCCGGACCCTTTTGCGCCGAGTCGTCGGCTGCAGGCGGTGAGGAGTCGGTCGACACCGGCTCCTGTGTCGTGGCGGCAGACGGAAGTTCTACATCGAACGCATCGTCCGCAGGAACAGTCTGCACCACAACGTTTGGCATCGAGTTGCATCTCCTGAACGCCGGGCCAGTCACATGACCCAAACCTGCCAATGTGATCTCGACAGATGATCCGTTCCCTAGCTCGCCAAAAACTCTTTGCATTAACTTGGGGGGTCGACGTCATAATATTGTTCTGTAAACAGGCACGTAGTCAAGGGGGGGGGGACTTAAGGCGCCCGGCCCCCTAAGAAAAGTCAGTGGCCCCGAACAGGCCCCCTTGATTTTGATTTTTAAATATTATGGTGTTTAATTATCCCAAACCGGCTAAATCCTTAATGTATATTATATGGTACTCGTACTCCATATAGTTAACAATCTCGTATGACAAAAATTAAATTAAAATTTATATAATACATATATGTTTTAACATAAGTTAGTCATATATCTGTACTATTACAACCAATAATAATACTATTGTTAATGTGAATTAGTTATAAAATGTGGTGGCCTATTAATGACTACTCTACTAAAAATATAATAGGCACTGTCACTTCTATTGTAATAACAAATTCTTCAGATTTATTTGTGTCTCCGTCACATACAATAAACCTTCTGCTTTGACAACTCCTATAAAAAAATGTTATTTAATACAATATTTTTTTTGCCTTGATTAAATTAGAATTAAAAACAATAATTATTATTAAAATACCATGTATGTATCGAGAAATATATGAGCAATAAAAGACCATGCTTTATCTTTAGTCATAAGGCCTCAATACTGTTAAGAAATATTGATCCATCACTAACACTGATAACATACATAACACCTTCCAAAACGTCTATATTAACACCTTCACGACATACAGAAAGTTCATCAACTAGGTAGTTCATGTGTTGGTAGATCGATAGACTTCAAATGTTTTGAAAAAACTCCTATCTATGAAATTAAATGTTTTACAAATTTAAATAAAAAATTAAATATTTATCTTTTTCATTTAAACGATTATTGAGTATACCCACACTCAAATCAATTCTGTAGTCATACTAGCTACCCATTTTTGAACACTGACATCAAAACTTTTATACCGAATCGTATGTGGAATGGCGAAATGCTGAACTGACTTCTGTAAAACAAATAGTAAACCTTCTAATTCATAATGAAGGAATTAAAAGGAATGTAAAAATTATATTTACATTTAAAATTATTTTCTAGAAGTGGTTCTCTAACCACGTTATTTACTATACTTCAGGTGTTGATGCAAATAATGGCAAACGCACATTTTCCATTAATACTGACAATACATTTTTCTCCAATCCAAAACATATTTTACCCATTTAATAACACATTTAAAGACCTAAAACAATTAATAAATATAATGCAATTAATATATAACAAAATATAAATAATTGAAGAAGTTGTTTTGAGAAACCTTACTTGTCTAACCATTGTTTATTGTGATTAATTGTTTGAAGTATAAATATTTTATAGGTACACGGTATACCATGGCGGCTTTGTCACTGAAAAGATATTTAATACTTAAAAGATTTACATTAACTGTTATGACTAGGGTTCGGATTTGAACGCAAATGCCTTTCTTTTATTAATCATAATAGAAAAATAATTTTTATACAAAAATGTGTTTCATTTAATTTCTTTGAGAATGGATCTTTTTTTTTTTTTGCCTTTTTACTTATAAATGCCTTTTTGCCTTTTTTTTACCTTTTCTTTATTTTTCATTAAATTAACTTGTATAAGTGTATAACTCAAGTAAGTTAATATTTAAAATTGTTTTTAACTAATTCTTAGGACAAACCTGGTTAAAGAAAAAGGTACCTAATCTATTTATACAAAATACCATAAACTTAATGTAGTTTAGTATTGATGCTCATTTTAAATTTGTATTTTTCTCAAAATGTGTGCATTTAAAAGTGTTTAAAAAATATTCACTATTTTATTTTGTAGTATATTTATGAATTGCCTTTTTATATAAATTAAATGCCTTTTTTTGCCTTTTTTACATTTTAAATGCTTTTTTTATTGATTATATTGCCTTCAAATCCGAACCCTAGTTATGACTATATCTGTATAGCCTAGTTTTCTACAACTGTGTAATATCTATAATGATTCCCATTACACCCATCCACTCATTTATGTTATTTTATAGTCTCTTACACTTTAAGGTGCAATTGTGCATATAAAATAAAATAATATTAATTAATGTACATGCTAGGTGAGTTGATTATCCATAAAACATTAAAATACAATACTATAATACATTATTTGTTAGCTTACTTTTTCCTCAAATGGAACAGCAAAGTCACTATAGGAAATAATCTCAACACATTTTTCACAAGATAATGATAAAAACTAGTCACCTTTAACCATTTCCCTGAAAATATTAATGATTATTTATATACAACAAGATGTAAAGAATTAATTTTTATATTATATATCATACAAAAACCATTTGTTGATAAATGCTTCAGAGCTTGAGGGAACTCCATATAATTATGTCAGTTGGCAAATGATTTTATAGAAAGATAATTTGAGGTATCCATTGGTGTTAGTAAAATCTCTGCACATATACCACTTGTATAGTCTAACTATAAGTGATTTGCAGCAAGATATTATTACCTTGAGAAAGTAATAATAATTAATTTAAATAATTTTGATAGAAGTCTATAACAATTGAAATATTTTTTTACACCTGCACATTTTCATTGATGACCATAATTTTGCCCTTGTATACAATATAATATAATCTAAAAATATTAGTAAAACGGCAGAATCTAACTCATATTAACAAGATTTGAATTGTTCCTTTTATCAAAACTGTTAAACACAGCTCAGGAATATTGACTAGCAATTTTTTATGTCTGAATAATATTGATTGTTCCTCAGTTACTAATCCAAATCGACGAACGTCCATAATAACAACATGGCATATAATATAATATAATAATATTATTATTATTATTATTGTGGCTTGATAGTTAAAGCGGTTTAGCCTAAATAGTTTTCTACAAGTTAATTAAGTGGTATGGAGGGACTTTTCCCCTCCAACTCCACCCAAATCTTAACTAAATTATATAAGTAATAAAGTAGTATTAATGCAAAGATATTTAGCGAATAAAATTTTAATACTGTTATAAAATACAAAATATACTATTATGAAATAATAATGTATTCTATAAATATTAAAGTTTTGTTGGAAACATTAATTTAAAAATGTAGAATAGTACCTGGATTACAATAATTATAGTTTATTTACGTAAATACAAATATCTTAAAATTAGATTTAAAAATAGGTAAGAACAATAAAAATAATGATTAAATTAATGGCGTTTAACAACCGTCATATTATTAATAAGGCTAGATGTTTTTGAAGTAGGATTATTTTTATTTGAATTTGAATTATGTGTATCTTGTATTCTGGCTAATGATACACATTTTGAAATAACAGTAGTCTTTATTGAGGCAGACGTTTTTGAAGATAAATCTACTGATGGTTCTATTACTTTAGACTTCTCAATTGGATCCAAAGTGATGGAGAACGAGTTTTTAGCTGACATGTTCTTCAGTTTTTGTTTAAGTTTTGAATCAATGGTTGGAAAATTATCAATACCTTTGAAAGTATTAGATTCAGAACATTTTTCTGTATTATCTGAAAGATTATTAATTTACAGTATTTGATATTTTTATGTTGGATTTAAATCACAAGTTGAAATTTATTTTAGAAATAATATTTTACATACCTTTTAACTTGTTATCTTGCACTTTTAATGTTGAAGTTCCTTCCAAAGTGACGGACAACGAGTTTTCAGTTAAAATCTTCTTCAGTTTTTGTTTGACGTCTGATTCAATGTTTGGAATACCTTCAACATCCATGAAAGTATTAGATTTAGAACATTTATTTGTATTATCTGAAAGATATATAATTTAAAGTATTTGATTGTAATGTTGGATTTAAATCACTAGTTGAAATTTATTTTAGAAAGAATTTTTTACCTGGTAAATTGTTTTTAGTATTAGATGCTGATGGCACATCATTAATTGCTATTGGCAAAGAAGGATATACTAATAATTTTACTACATCTTTTAAACCATCTACCGAAAATTCTTCACAAATTAAGTCTTGCGGTCTGAAGTGTCTTTCACAGATATAAGAGTTAGCAGTTAACTGAACACCTAACGCTGAACTCCACTCATTCACACATTCCTATAAAATAAGCAATACAAATTTCAATGAATGGATATTTAAAATGATTTTAAAACAATATTTTTGAGTGATTCTAATAATTACTATTCTTGGTGTGAATAGGTAGGGTTCTTCATCAGTATTAGTTATGTTAGATATGCATCCTTCTATAGAACAAAAATCCTAAATAATTAAAATAAAATAAATTAAATTTATGTAGGCATAGGTACATATTATATAAATAAAATGTAAAACTGAAATTACCAATCTTTAATCTAAAAAGACTAAGACTAATTATAACGTTTACAATAGTATATGATTATACTCTCAAAACTATGGTTTCAACTTTTTTTTTATAAATACTGAAAACAAATGCTATATTTTGTCAAAAACTTGAAAATGTAATACAATGTTCCTCATAAGTTGCTCTTTTAGCAATCTAAATCTAAATAACAATACATAATATGCACAATTGTTTTTTCCATTTCATAGTCATTTGAAGTTTGACACATTTTATTAAACTGAAACAAATTTAATAATAATGGAAATTTGATCTGCTGTAGATGTTGAGTGTACTTCATTGAGTAAGTAACTGTAATGTATGAGTTAAATTTATATTCAATGATAAATCATATAACAATCGATTCTGATTGGAAATAGTCTGACATCTTATATTAATAACTAACAAGTAATTTAATTTTACTATAAGTAATACGGTAGTAGACATAAATACACTAGGCTTTAGTTATAGTAAATTAATCTAAATAATATTTAGAAATTGTTGTTGTGTGAGTATAATACCATTATATCTCAGACAATTTCTTTCCTCTTGAATTATATTTTTGAATTCCACCAAATAACTTACATTTTGACCCAATTTTGACAATATTTAAACAACAAATAATTATAAATAAAATTGTACTTAATTATTGATAGATTTTTGGGACTTAGCAAGAACTTCTT